TGCTCAGGAGCAGGAGAGTGAGGTGTTAGTGTTCAATATTTAGTGTTCATCTTTGTAAAATAAATATTTTCTGGTTCAAACTGATCTTGCATTTGAAATGTATTTTTAGAACACAACAGGGTAATAATAATATATATTTTTACAGTTGTTTTGGGGAAGTGGGACAAATTTGTCCTGAGGGAAACCAGTGTCCAGTGATATTGTAAATCTGCTACTGCATAAAACTAAAAAATGCATCCAAATCAGTGTTGCTACCAACCATTGAGCCATCTCAGGGCCTAGTAATAATAATAATCAAATACTGGTTGAAATGTGTTTTTTGGAAAATGTTAGTTTTCTTCCATAAAAGGGGTTAAAAATGGGGTTAAAAAGGGTTAAAAATTCCAAAAATATAATTCATGTTTGATATGTATATTTCAGGCAGAAGTAGTTTATAATGATTGGCTCATTTAAAGTGGAAAAAATTATGAATTTATAATAATTTTACACCCTTATGTGAGCCATGGGACAAATTTGTCCTGAGGGTAACCAGTGTACAGTGTTTTTGAAGATCCTCTGAGGGTTAAGAACACAGTTGAGTGAAGGAAGCAAAGACTTTATTGCATACTTTCTTGCTGTGGATGAAAGTACAGACATTGCACAGCTGGCCATCTTCATCCATTGAGTGGACTCCAATTTGCGCGTTACAGAGGAAATATTGGACATTAAATCGATGCACGGGACAACGACAGGAAAAGACATTTTTGAAAACATATGTCAAAGTGTAACCGATATGAAACTGCCCTGGGACAAACTTGTAGGACTGACAACAGATGGTGCACCCGCAATGTAAAAAAGAGTGGACTGGTGGGCAGAAGATGCGGGACAACCATGCAGGTGAGCTTACAGGTTATCACTGCCCCATACACCAGGAATCGTTGTGTGGCAAAGCCCTGAAAAAGGAACATGTTATGAGCACCATAACATGGGTAGTTAAGAGCCAAAGGTATGAATCACTGCCAGTCTTTTCTGGAAGAGATTGGCTTGAAATACAGAGATGTGCCGTATCATAGAGAGGTGAGATGGCTAAGCCGACAAAAAGTACTGAACAGATGTTTCGAGCTGCGTGAGGAAATATGTCAGTTTATGGAAAGCAAAGGGAAAGATGCAACAGAGCGCCGGGATAAAACGTTTCTGTGTGAGCTAGCATTTCTGTTCGACATCCTGAGCAATCTCGATGTGCTCAACCTGCAGCTTCAGAGGGGAAACTGTGTTATCACAGACATGTTAATAGTTGAATCGTTGGATTTTCATTGAAGGAAATCTTTTTTTTTGTTGTTTTGTTAGTGGCCTGTGAAAAAGGGTTTACACTGAAAATGAACTTGAAAGGCTAAAGATAAAGGCATAAGAATTTATTTTATTTAATTTTATTTGTTTAAATAGCAATAAGAAATGAATGCCATTAATGTTTTTTTATTTGAAATTTGATTTCTCCTGTGTTGATAATATTAAGCTTTGCTTGTTCCAAATTCAATGTTTAAGCAAGTTAAATTGTTTCCATATGAAAAGGTTTATCAATATACAGAGAAAAGGGAAAACAAGCTCAATTTTATTCAATATTTCAGTGTATTTGAGTTTGGCACCCCTGCTCTAGATACTTTATACACATGACTGCTCCCCCTCCTATCTATCCAATTACATCATTAAATTTGCAGATGATACTACAGTGCTTGTCCTCATCTTGGGTAATGAAGGGTCTGCATAGGAGGGAAGTACAAGATGTGGCAGTCTGGTGCCATGATTATAATATGAGCCTGAACGTCAGCAAAAACCAAGGAGATGATTGTGGACTTCCAGAGATCAGGACAGTATAACCACTCCCCGCTCTATATTAACAACAAGGAAGTGAAACATGTCACCAGCTTTATGTTCCTAGGCCCAACAGTGACAGAGGAATTGTCCTGGGACACCAACACAGCCTCTGTGATCAGAAAAGCCCAACAGCATTTCTTCTACCTGAGGAAACTGAACACAGAAAATCGGCCATACAGCAAGGAAAATCACTAGTTACGTTGTCAGACATCAACACCATCTCCATCTCCTGCTGCCTGAATCAATCTCATCAGATACTCATAGACTCCTTGTAATGATTATGTTTATTCTGCTTCCAGTATCATGCTTTTATTCTAACACCACTTTCTGTTACAGTGTCATTGCAGCTACGAACTCTTTACCCTAATCAATGACAATTGTTTGCACCTGTTGACACTCCTTTATAGGCAGCTTTCTCCTACCAGGAAGCTGCCAGATTGTTCTAACTCATGTTCAGACTCTCCAGCATTTTTTCTTGCGCCTGTTATTCCAGCTCTGACCCCGGATTGCCTTGTGACCACCGAGTACTGCCTAATCCTTCTGATTCTGTCTGTATTCTGTGCATCGACTTATGGACTTTCCTTATTGACCGTTCTTCTTGTGGACACCTTGGATGTGTGAGTTTGCTGGCTGTGACCCTGGACTGGATTATTGACCTGAGAGTGCTACATGTTGAATCAGACTCCTGCATTGTGTATCGTTTGTTTCTGACCAGTGCTCTGATTAAAGAGACAGTGTTCTGCTTATCCCCATCTGGCCTTATAACTGAGTTCACCATCGACATTATCTGCAGCTTTACTTGCCGATCATGACACTCCTCAAACCCTATCCACCTCCTTTGCCTACTGTTACCATCAGAGAAAAGGTTCAGGTCATGTTAAGCAAGGACCACCAGAATGCTCAACAGTTTCATACCACAAGACATAAGACTACTTAACAGCTGCCGTACACCCCATCCCCTGGTTACACATAAGTGAGCTGCGTCTGTGATCAGCAAAACATTGTTGAACACGCCCATATGTCCCTTATGCTTGGACTTTAGACGCATTTAACACTGTGCCCCATTTGAGGAAAATAGAGCCCTATGTGTTTACATGTCCTGTCATAGTGAGTGCCTTTCTCAAATGCTGTCATTTGTTGTTTGTTTTGGTTGGGTAGCTGTAGTTGATGCACACACGTGGGGCCCTTTCATTGTTTAACTGCCAGCACACACTTTCTAATGCTTTATTTCAAAATAGTTAAAAAGGTTTGTTATTTTGTCATGTCAATTTTGGAAATCGAAACCAGTTCCACATTACTGATGTCAAGTTCTTTTTAAGGAACCAACTCCTTCATGTTGACATCCATTCCACATCATAGCCAAACAGGAAATGTGAATGTACATTACACGGCATTGAATGTTGGCCACAGAACTGCAAGCGATAGAATGCATGCAGTAGCACAATACAAATGATGTCTCTAAAGGCATAATGTGGAAACATTTAAATCATTCACAGTCTAATATCATCATATCACACACCCCTAGTTATTATGTGTAATTTTTTAATGTGGATCTGGATTCCCAAACACCAGCTACAGCTCACCTCTGGCTACATCCTGTAATGACAGATGGTGCAGCCTGATGTGTACCAACACTGTTTGACCACCTTCTATGGCCATATCTATATCCAAATTCTGAGAACTAGTTTATTTATTTTATTTAAAAATAATCTTTCTAAATTATCACACATATTTCATGATACAGATAATTTTACAATAAATTATACAGAGTGAATTCCAGCAGATCAGTTGTGTATTTAAGGGTTAATTTTAAGTTGGTGTAGCCACTACAGAACATTTGGATGCCTTTTCTTGTGCTTCCCAGCCTATGTGCTTCTCAGAAAAATTGCAAATACACCTGCGATAGTGATAAGAGGTGGCCTGAGCAGATGTGATTTCTATTGTTATTTTGGGTCAAAGCAAGCACCAAAATTGCACTGCACTATCTAATCAGCATGCACACAGTCTTGACTGCGCCTCTCCTCCCACCTCAGCTGGCAGGAAAATACCAAAAACACCAATGTGCAATAAAAAGTGGACATGCATAATGACTGCAATTGAAGCAATGCAGAAAATTTTGCTGGCAGGAAATGGAGCCCAGTGTTTTTGTTTTGTTTTAGCAGGGAGACACTGCTAGCTTGGCTCAGTACAGGTAATAAAGGTAACAAAATCCACCTAATCCACAGAAAAAAGCTAACAACTTATGGTTTGAGGTTAGCTGTTTCTAGTCTCTAAGCTACGGTAACAAGGTACTGGTTGTAGCTTCATATTTAACAGACAAAGTAGAGTGGTAGACTATTGATCTTCAAGAACCCATATCATTGCTTATTAAGAAGCCAGTATTTGGGTTATTTGCCCATATGTTGCATGAAGATAGATATTTTTCATTTGTTTTTGCACCTTATAAGAAATTAACCTATAAATTATTGTAATTACTTCTGATTAAAAATGAATCCAGTCTATTGTTCATTGACAATCTCAGACTATAAAAAGCTCAGCTAAGCTTTGAACACTGGACTTTATCAGCTGCATTTAACCTTTTAAAGGCTGTCATAGCTCTGTGGTTGATCCTCTGCTTCTCTGACCCCTGTTACTGAATGTGATTGGCTTGTTTTCCCATATCATCCGTTTTAGAAAAACAGATTCTATTAATTTCATTTAAATCCAAATATATAATTACAAAGGTATTTACATCAAGTATAGCTGGCAGAATCATTAAGCAGCTGAAAATAATGCATAAAACGAGCTTGATTCGTATCAGTGACTGTATATAAATGACCTTGAGCTAAAAGTGATTGTCTGAACTGTTTTGACATCAGCAAATGTAGGCCTGAGCACCTGAGGGTTGGGTGCAGAGCTATTAAAGAACACACTGAACAAAGTTTATCAAGTGCACTGCTGAAACGGTGTCAGGAAACGGCCCTTATGGGGACTGTGGGTACTTTAATTACAGAGACAGGGCTGGATATTCACTAGTTTAAACTTTTAAAATGAGCTTTAAAGCCTCATGGGTGGTGATGTAAGAAAACAGGCTTTTCATTGTAAGAAAGTGTTTTCCAATGTTATATCTATGTATATTGCTACTACAGCAGTAGATACTTATGAATATTTTCTTGGAAATTGTCAGCAAACAATACAGCCAGCCATATGGGGGAAGTTCAGTTCAATTCAATTTACAACAACAGTTCTCAGGGCATTTGACATAATCAGGTCTGGACCTTACACTATTGTGTCATGATTCGGTTCTGCTGCTTCCTGTCATGCTTTTATTTTGACATTACTTCCTGTTTTTGTTTCACCTCAGTTTTGGTCTTTTTACTTTAATAATCACTCACATTAGTTTCACCTGCTCCTGATTGTTTGCACCTGTTTTCACCGCATTATAAGCAGCCTTTCCCCACCAGTCCCCTGCCAGATTGTTCTAGACTCCAGCTCTGACTTTCCAGCATTATTTGGTTTTGGTATTTTGTGTTTTGACCCGGATCATGTATTTTGACAATTCTGTTCTGCCTTGCCATCTTGTTTCGGACTGCTTTTATGTGTATCGGCTTAATGGACTTTCCCTTTGGACTATGAACTTTGGATTTCTTTGTGTTTGCTGGCTCTTACCATGGACTGTATCATCAATCTGTGTGTTTTGTGTGTTCACCGTGTCTTGTCTCATTTGTGTTAAGTGTTTGTGCTTCTAATAAAAAGACGGTTATTCACGTATCCTCGTCTGGCAATTTAATAGAGTTCACCCACAACATTATCGGCAGCTTCACTGGCCGTTCCTGACA